ATTCCATAGTCTCATATTGTGTGCCTTTAATCTTCTGACAGTACGTCATACAATGTTGCTGCTATTCATAAATTCTCAGTGGTTCAATTTTCAGCAGAGGGCTGTTGGTTTTCCTTAGCTTGAACACTCTGATAAAATCTATGCAGCATGTGTGGATGACTTGAAATACCAATTGCAGAGCTAAGAGAAGCACAGCAAGCTCACAGAACATGTAAAAAGACAACTAGATGGGTTCTCTATATCAATGTCTGTGTGTGTGTGTGTGTGTGTGTGTGTGTGTGTGTGTGTGAATACGTGTTTGGAGTAAAACATTTGTGACCTTTATTTGCTGATGTGGGACAACTTGAATTGAGAATCACAGAGAAGAAGTTGTATAAGTGATGTTACAGTGAGAGGATTGCAATGAATGAGATGAAATTAAATGTGTATGAATTATTGACTGCAAACCTGATTATATGGAATGTAAAACTTTAGCGAATTCACAATAAAATACTATTTATTTATTTATTAACTTTTTGTTGGTAATTAAGTGTTGTTTTATATTTCAGTGAATTATTTTGTATCAGTAACTTAAGCAACTTTTCATCACTCCCAGTGGCTTGGCCTGCCCCCTCTCCCCACCCCTTCTCTGTCTTGAACACTATTATCTTCCCCTTCAGTTAAGTTAACAGCTGACTACCCTCTACAATATGGTTTCTCCTTCTCACACAAAGTCCCACAAAGTCTCCACTTCCTTCCAACAAAGTCAGTAACAAAAAGAAACAAGAATAAAGTATCACAACTATAATGCCTATGGTCTTGAATGTAGAACTTAGTAATTCTCCAGCTCAAGTGGGAGGAAAACCACAGCCCCAGGCAGGAAATACTTCACCACACATGTGTCTGCTCCTGAGGATGGTCTAGTGGGGCATGAGCAACCCCTGTTGCCCCATCCTTCACTGTAAGTGAGGTTTGTGTTTGGGCTTACACTGAGCAGACTTCACTGTGTGTCTCACACAGTAATACATGGCTGTGTCCTCTTGTTTCAGTCCATTCATTTGCAAATAGGCGACGCTTTTGGCATTATCTCTTGAAATGGTGAATCTGCCTTTCACAGATGAAGCATACTCTGTTGTTTGGCCATTGGCTGCATTTCTAATAAAACCAACCCACTCCAGTCTCTGTCCTGGAAACTGTCCAATCCAACTAATATAATAGTCACTGAAGGTGAATCCAGATGTTGCACAGGAGAGTGTCAGAGACCCGCCAGGCTTTCTCAGATCGCCTCCAGATTCCACCAGCTGCACCTCACACTGGACACCTGTAAACACAGAGAGACTCTGTGATAATATCACACACACACACACACACACACACACAATGATACACACAACCACACAGCAGTGTCCTCTTTTTTTTTTAAAGAGAAGTGTCCTCAATTATTACCATAGATAATGGCCAGCATAAAAACCCAACTCAATCCAAAATCCATGATGAGTCCTCTGGTTTAGCTCAAAACGGAAACAACAGAGACTCAGACGCGGAGGCTTCCCTCCAAGAGCTCCCAGGACAGGGCCGGTGCAGGGTTTATTAGCACAGAGAGAGCTGCATTTGCATGCACCTCCACTTATAAGCAGAGGAGAGAGTTCCATGGCCTAGAGTTTTCCCTGTGACTCCGAGAAACAGAAGAACCCTCACAGGACAATGGAGCATTTATAAAGGTTGTTTGCGTGCAGATCATAGAGGCATAGATGCTGCTATAGATAAATGCTATTCATATTCAATGAACTTTTAATTTATAAACACTGTTCTTCACAAACATGGACCTTTGTGGAATGAGAGTTAAGAATGTATCCTTCCTCCTTCTTCCTTCTCCCTCCAGATGTGGGAACCGGGTAGTTACTCCTCATTGGAACATGATGATAGTAGATAGCTTTGTTATTGTATCTTGATGGTGAACATTTTTGGTTTATTATCTTTGAAGATATTTCCTCATTTCATTGACACTGATGGTCTTTTGGCATAAAGTTGTTCATACAATATGACCATTTTATATTTTAATACCCAGTCACTACAAAGTTATATCTCCTCTCTGGTTTCTGAAATAAGGGATTTACATCCACTGTGCTCCATGCAGCTGCAGTGGCCTGTATAGAGCTGCCATATTCCCTTTACTCTGCCTCCCATACGGTAGAAGTGGCTTGTCCGCAGTGGTCATAGAACTGAAGTACAGAGAAAAGGATCATGTGGACTTGCTTTTGGAACTAGAGAATCAACTCCTCAGAGATGGGCCAAGTGTTTCTTTCTTTCTTATTCTGCTGCCAAGGCATACTGTTAACACCTACTCTGAATCCTTAAAAAGGAATTGGCAAATGCAGCTCCAGTAATTAGGACTGATTATGGTGTCAGCACAGATTATGGTGTCAGCACAGAGACAGCACAGATGAGGGAGAAGATTTTTGAAGGTTTCACAATTCCTCAGATGGAATCCTGCATCTTTACCTCGTACAGGACACCTAGGGACAGGGAAAACAATCATTTAGGGCAAATAATAAACACCTCATTCACAGCAACCTATTTTTGGAAACAACACTCACAAGGAGAATGTAAGACCAACAGAAGAATGCACACAGGGAACCCAGAATGCTGGCTAAAAATAGAGACAAAAAGTTAGATCGACACTCTGATTTCAACAATGAGATGATTGATAAGTTTTCCATTTTTTTATTGTGGGAATGAGTGGAATTTGTTTATTTTGTTTGTTTGATTTTCGTTGTTGTTGCTGTTGTTGTTTTCATTGATTTTTGTTTGAACTTTTGTCGCAATATGACTACCAAAGTAAATCAGAGTCGTTCATAAGCGGTGGACGAGCAGATAGATGCTGGACTCCCACGTAGTAATTCTAGCCGCAATCCAAGAACTGGTCGTTCTTATCACATGAGCCTTCTGAATACTCACCTTCATGAAGAGATCACTGAAGATAAGGAAGATCCAGCAAAGTTTTCTGAAGGAAGCAGATGGTGCATGGCTTTCGATTGTAATTGTGTCGAGGGGCTTAAAGGCTTGCATTCAAACAAACTTTAATCTAAGCTAAGTGTTAACTGAATCCACATCAAAGAAGCCCAGCAGCCTATGTGATCCAAAGATGACTATAACAAAATCCAAATATGTTGAAAGGAA